TCATAAATCAAATTTCATTTTGAAAATTAAATTTTCACATCTATGACTAATGATTTTCATGAAATCATTATTCCTTTTAATCGACATAGGTGGGTAGTTTTAGTACTTCTGATTGATAAATTAATTAAATAGTCTTTTGTTGTTGGTGAATAAATGTTTGTATTACTTGATTCTAAATGAATGTAACCATTGCTTTTTTTGTCAATCATAACTAATAAATAACTAGTCCAGGATTTTCTCTTGACTACCTCCAACCACCATCTTATCTCAACATAGTGCACGCAATGTCGAGTCACCGAGACTAGTGGCCACATTCCAACTTGGTCGATAGCATTCGATCTGCACTGCGAAGGACTTGACACATATGACACTGATCACCACACAGTGATCAATCAATTGTGAGTTTTCGACTACTCACATACGGAGAGCAAGAACAAAGATTGGTGAATAATAATAAATAGATTCATTTTATTTTGTTAGGTTCTCATCAGCTGCTTACAACCTAAAATATTTAAAATTCAACATTATTACAGATATTGACATACTTATACATAAGAGAGTGATTCAAGATGAAAATATGTATCATGATGTAGCGAAGATTTCAATAGAGTTAATAAGGTCATAAAAATTTTGTTTTGAATAAATAAAGTTTAGTAGGGAAAGTTACAGAACATTGAGATAGTGATCAGAACTTGATGTGTGAACGAGAATAATAATGACTGGTTGTTTGCTTGGTCAGACTTGTTGATAGTCTGACAAGTGTTAGATGATTTATATATTCCCCTATCCTTATTAAAATTGACTGTTGATGGTTGTTGGATTGTGTTGGCTTGTTGTCGGTTTTTGCTATGAAAATATATCTAGGATCTAGTCAGGCTAATCACGTGTTCTTGATTTGAGTTGTGTTGAAGTCCTACAGAATAGACATTGGGAAGAAATCTAGTGTAGATATTCGTCTAAGGTAAATTAACGTGGAAAACCCAGAGTTATAACAGAGCTCATGAAGTTAACAAACATTAGATGATTGTATAATGAAGCAACTGAAAATAGATTAATGGTAATAAAGAAAAATATGAATTGAAGAAAAACGACAATGATGTAATTAAAACTTCAGAAGGAGTTGAAATAATGAATGAACTGGACTGAAATCTTTGCTACATCATGATAAATATTTTCATCTTGAATCACTCTCTTATGTATAAGTATGTCAATATCTGTAATAATGTTGGATTTTAAATATATTAGGTTGTAAGCAGCTGATGAGAACCTAACAAAATAAAATGAATCTATTTATTATTATTCACCAATCTTTGTTCTTGTTCTCTTTAAGATAATAAAAGGAATTATGTATATGAAATTACTCACAATTTTCAATATCAGACTATTAAAGTTACGGAACTTATAGCTTCGTATACGGATCCATATTTTTAATCGAGTATTTACTCTTGAATAAACGTTTTATTTGTTACTTATTTTCAAATATGTGATTAAATTAGTAGTATATGTATACTTTTCTAGTAATGATGAATAAATCGTTTGTAGTCACGAAATAATATTTGAAATCTTCATGTTTAGGTTGTCTGCCATTAAAGAAGGGTTCAGGATAGTGCAGTGAACAAGAAGACGAGTGGAGACAATGGAATGTATTGGATAAGAAATTACAGAACATTTCACTAAAATCTGAGAACCATATAGTGAAAAAATATTAATACCGTTGGATCCCGGCTCAGTGGTCTAATGGTTTAATGCTCGCGCGCGAGGACATTAGGTCCTGAGTTCGAGCCCCGCGGGATCGTGGATGCGCACTGCTGAGGAGTCCCATACTAGGACGAGACGGCCGTCCAGTGCTTCCAGGTTTTCAATGGTGGTCTAGCTTCAACTGACTGATGATTTCAATCTGTGAAAATTTCTAAAAATCTCCACAAACCCCTTCTGATATAGTAAATAGTTAATTTGCAAAATATCAATCAATCGTCTCAAACTTGACTGTACTTTTGCAAATATCAATCCATTGTCTCAGATTTCATTGTTCATGTATTTTCATACCAAATGCGTTCCGTATCCGTTCCTCCCTTATAGATCTTCTTTTGAAATATATTCTATATCTGACCACCGTTATGTACTACTTATGTGAATATAAGTAACCCACACCATAATAGTACTTCTTGTAATAGTTTGTAAACGTTTACTTTATAGAATAGTTACAATGTAAATAAAACTTTTATTACGTGGTTAGCATTAAAAGAAATAGTACATAATATTAGTTACTATTTATTAATTGATCAGTTGATATAAACTTTTTCTGAAGGTATCAGAAGTACCTAAATAATAGTATCATAATAAAAATTCAAACTATGATGCTTTGTGATATAGATTAGAGATTGAAAGAGCATAAGTTTCTTCAATATTATCATTACCATTCTACCTGCTAATGAACATCTATAATCACAATTGTTTAAGTCATAGGTTCGAACTTTGGCCCACTTATTTCGGCTTTAATTGTCTCGTATTATCAATAACCTTTATACACATAGTACAGCTCAACACAAAACAGAAAACTAGTACTTGATAAATAAAATTTTATTAAACTTAGGTCTGAGTCGATTTTAATTATTTTGCCTTAAACCACTTAAAGCTTAGGAAATTTCTGTTTCTTTTCCATACCCTTTATGGACATTATGAAAGTAGAAAACATATATAGGTTTCAAGTATATAACTATCGATGTCTTTGAAGTATTACTCATGTATAGTGAAACGATCTAGTGAATAATTTCGAGGTTAAGCATAGAATGAGATTTAGAATCGATCACGGTAGCTCGAATGTATTCATTTCTCTTCTTCAGAATAACTTCGTACTTTTTATCTCTAAATATTCATCCCTTCAATGTTTAGTATTTATCATTACTTTTTAGGTTATTATTATTTTGACTATCTTGATATTGATCTTGTTCATTTTATCTCGTCGTGGTGATGTGATATGGCAACTTTGAATTACATGAATTTTTATCAGACTCTATGTTAATTAATATTAACTAATTGAACATTATGTTACTAAGAAAAGGAGCATTTACTACTTAACTCTTGATTTTCATCTCGTTAATTTATTATATATGTGTATGTAATGATATGAAGCATGTCAACTTTGAGCAATCTATGTTTGGATCATCTTCTAAGTTCTTTACTGACTGCAAAATGTATTAATTTACTGGATCTAAGTTAAATGATGTTTTATTCGACATATTAGGATTATATAAACTATTGTGAAACCTAATACGAGTTTTTTTTTCTCACCTTATGAATGAGGCAGTGTTCCTCTTCAAGAATAAAATTTTCATATATACGTTCTCACAGACAAAAATACTTTTTGGGTTTTATGTCTAACTACAATTAATTCACATTATTGTAATATTGAATGTCAACTCAGTGGTTTAAAGATTAAATGTCCATCTCTTGATCCAATGGTTCTAAGTCTAATTCCCACTGAGGTCATGTATGTGAATTTTTGAGGAGCCCATACTAGGAAGAAACAGATATCTAGTGTTTCTTGTTTTTAAATAGTTGTTTAATTTAGATCGATTCTTGATCTTAATGACAACAGTGTTTAAATAACATAAATGTAAGTTTCATACACATAGTTCCCTTTATTATCTTAAACAGAGCAAGAACAAAGATTGGTGCAGAATACTAAATGGATTCATTTTATTTCGTTAGGTTCTCATCAGCTGCTTACAACTTAACGAAATAGGACGAGTTCATATTATTCTGCACCAATCTTTGTTCTTGCTCTATTTAAGATAAATGTAAGTTATGAAAATGCAAAAGAAAAGGATATATATGCATTAACCAAATGAACTAATTTTATAAATAAAAGGACCATTGATTTTTGTGCTTAAGGTTTGTAAAAACAAGAGAAAAGTTTGAACTTATTTCTCTGATGCAAATAATTTTGGTTTTTTCTTAATCCGAATAAGTACTGCTTCTAACCTTTGAATTATTCTGAGTCTATCAGATTTTGACAGAAAATGACCTTATGACTTTGAAGCATAAGTTCGATTTTGTGACTGAGCAGCAGTAGGCGTAGAAAGAAAAGAACAGTGCTATCGCTAAATAATAATAATAATCTAGATGGTTAGAAAACGAAAAGAAATAATGACAATTGAAGAAAACTCTATATCCCATCTCGATCCAATTCAATTAACTACAAATATACACAAATGAATATACGAAAAAAGGATCAAGAAACAAATAGAATGTAAAAAAAACAAACAATTATACCAAACTAAAGTATTAGAGTATCGTAAATAAAACATAAGAACCACATTTAAATGACAATAATTTTAGGATAGAATAAAAATATAACAGTAATTTACAGATTAATCAATAACCTACAACTCATACGACAAATCAGGCCAGTTGAGTTCAACCGAGTCAGTTGTGAGACAGTAACTCACTGATGACAATGGTGAATGTGTCGCTCAATTTCGTGGATTAGTTGAAGTTAGATATTAACACCGTTGGATGCCGGCCGTCTCAATGGTCTAGTGGTTAAGTGCTCGCTTTTGAAACCTTTATCCGAATCTTGCTAGTCGGAATCATGGATGCACACTTCTGAGGAGTCCCACAATAGGACGAGTTGGCCATCCAAAGCTTCCAGGTTTTCCATTGTGGTCTAGCTTCAATTGACTCATAACTTCAACTATTGAAATTAATAAAAATCTCCACAAACCCCCTTCTGATACATAACTAAGTGTCAGAGTAATTTACAGATTACGTGAAACAATATCCCAGAGAATAACTTTCATTACTTATCACTTCTTTTTTGTCTATTCTTCTCTTCATCTCATAATTCATTCTTATAAACATTCCATTTCATCTGTATATATCGATCAATAATATGAATTCTACTATGCTCTATTATTTTTGGTAAACTATGAATGTATCAATATAGTTGAAGGTTAATTTAAATTTTAAAAATCGATTTCGAACTAATAAAATCAATCAATTTTATTCACATTTCAATTGATGATTACGGTCATCCTGATTCTTTTCATTGAATTATAATGTCAAGTGAAATAATACCGGCTAATACATCTGTAAATAATCGTAACCACGGGGTATTTAATGATGATATAGGTGATGGAGATGGTATACATGAAAAATCAATACATGATTCTATTTGTGTTCTAACATTAAATGATGAAGATATTACTATGAATAATAATGATAATACCAATGAAACAGCTAGTAATAAACTTTCTATTAATCATAATATTAAAGATAATAAATCATTCAAACATTCAAAATCTTCTATCTATCATATTGATAACAATATTCAAAACAAATTAACAAAGAATTTAACTGGAAAAGTAATTTCTAATACAAACTGTGATAAATCTATCACGGATACAAATAGTTGTTATTTAACATCAACGGTACAATTGCATTCTGATGAAAGCACATACAGTGATGATCATATTCCTATATGTTCAAATAGATCGAATAAACAATTATTACAAACTACTGGTACGATGAATAGTAATGCAATGATTTGTAAACATACTGGAAAGGAAAAACATTTCGTAATAAAAGAACAAGAAATACCTACAATATTAGACAAACCGAATGGAATATCCTGTATAAGTAATGTGAATCCCAATGTTTTATCAGTGTTTAGAGGTAGGCAGTGTTGTATCTGTAATTATGTACTCAATTACCCTTGTTACTCCTTGTGGAACATAGGCGATGGACCAGAATTATTCAACCAACTCTGTCATAGACTTTCTACTTCAGCTCTTTCTAAGTGTAATTCATTTTTTGGATATCTGCCTCCAATACTTGGCAGTGAAACATGGCCGGTAAGAGTATAGGATATTCGTAGGTACTAGTATTTGATCATAGGTGTCTTCGAAACATTGGTCGTATATCATGGGACCATCGAGTAAATAACACAGTTGTTAGGAAATGGGTACTAGGTAAGGATGGAAAATCAATTGATGAAGTAGTGAAACTTCACCAGTTGAGATGGCTGGGACACGTGTTACATATGCCCAATTACCGACTGCCTCGATGTGCGATGTTCAATGGTATAAGAGTAGATTGGAAGAAAGCTAGGGGTGGCCAGACCAAAACATGGCACAAGTCCATGAAGTCACTGACAAGTGGACTGAGCCATGTTGGTAGGTGTAGACTACCTGGTTGGGGACCGCGAGATGATAGCAACCGATGGTTAGAGACCCTGAATGACATGGCTCAAAATCGTTTGCAATGGGGTAGGTGCATCCACTCTTTGTGTTCTTACAAATTCTAATCTCCTGATCCCTCCTTGTCTTTTTTTTCTCTTCCCAAATTTATTTCACAGGATTATACTCTTTAAATAACATCTCCAAACCCTAACCTTTCCTATTACTGCTTATACTCTTACCGCCTCTATCACTACGGGATTTGAATCGACAACTGCATCTGTGTGCTAGTGTGGTATGGCAACTCGAACTGATGTAGGTAGGTACGAAGTTCTACGTTGTTACTGAATGACTGCATACTTGGCGGAATATGTGCCCTATCCACATCTTTTCATAATTCCCTCTTCGAATGGAAGCTTGTTTGTTCTCTCCCGTAGTAAGTTGTTGCTAATGATACTCAGCCAGTAGATATTGAGTGTCTTGCTTAGACAGTCATTTATAAATACATGTACCATTTTGCTGATGGTTGTAGTAGTTCTTTGTGTTTTAGCTGTGTACAATAGGACTGTTCCGACGTTCGTATTGAAAATTCTGACTTTGATGTTGGCTGACAGTTGTTTTGAGTCCCAAATATTCTTCAGTTGTAGGGAATGCTGGCATTACTATACCAATCCCTGTCTTTAAATCTGCACCAGGCCCTCCTTGTTTTCAATGATGCTCACTAAGTAAGTAAAAATTTCCACCTCTTTCAGTGCTCCTCTATCAGTAGTGATTTGATTCATGGAGTAATTACTTATATGTTAAATATTATTTTAAAAATAATCTCTTTTCTCCAGGTTATCCAGAAAATAATTCAATCATTACTACAGCCTCACCAGTAGCATCAACAAAATCAGGAACATTAACAGATTTAAAAATAAACAACGAAATTTCAACAACATATAGTCAACCATCATCGGATAATGATAATGCACATGACATTTATAGTTGTAATTATCCAAATGATGCCAGTATTTATCACAGAAATCCCAGTGGATACATTGATGATATTGTTACTTCTGACATTCATAAAATAAATTCAAGTTGTAATGGTAACAGTTCACTTAAACAACAAAATCTTGACAATTTTTTCAAAACTAATATGAAATCACAAGTTTCTTGTTCAACAACAACAATAGCAGTATCAATCAATACATCACCGATCTCCTCATCATCATTTAGTGTCAACCAATCAAATAGTCTTGAGTCAAATCAACATCAACGACAGAAACAAATACATCATGATCATAGAACTCTTGTCTCTTCATTATGTCCATCTGATTCTCCTTATTTGTTAAGTCAATGTTCAAGTAAATTTGCTAAGAAAAGACCGGTTACTACTACTACTACTACTACTACTACTACTACTACTACTACCACTACTACTACTACTACTAATAATAATAATAATAATAATAACTCTACAGTACACGATCACAAGGTAAATGGAAATGATATAAACCATCATTTACATTCACCAACTTCAATTAGCAACAATCCAAAAACTCATTGTCTAACAACTACTAAAAAGAATGCTAATAGTCATAATGATAACAACAATTATGAGCATTCAACAAATAATTCATATGATATAAACATAACAGTGAATAATAGTAATGATAATAATAATAATAATGATAATTACATTGATGAAACCAATTTAATAATCAATTACTTACCACCATATATGTCACAAGAAGAAGTCAAAGTATTATTTTCTACATGTGGTAAAGTTGAAAGTTGTAAATTAATACGTGATAAAACGAGTGGTGAAAGTCTTGGTTATGCATTTGTAAAATATTCACAATCAAATGAAGCACAACAAGCAATAAATACATTGAATGGTTTGTCATTACAAAATAAAACAATTAAAGTATCATTAGCTAGACCAAATTGTGAATCAATTAAAGGTGCAAATTTATATATTTGTGGTTTACCTAAAACAATGACACAAAATGAATTAGAACATTTATTTAGTCAATATGGTCGTATTATAACAGCACGTATATTATATGATAATAAGACAGGTATATCACGTGGTGTAGCTTTTATACGTTTTGATCATCGTTATGAAGCTGAATTAGCTATACAACAATTAAATGGTCATCAGCTACCATCTGAATATTCAAACGATATGCTAAATAGACCAATTACCGTGAAATTTGCCAATTCACCAAGTTCAATAAAATTTGATAATCTTAGTCTTGTATTATTAAAACAAGCAGCTCAATTACAAGCTATTACAACGTCTACTGCTATGCCATCACCATTATCACGAAATGCTACTTCAGCAGTTATCGCAGCAGGATTATTAAATCCACTACAACAACGAATAGCTGCAATATCAAATCGATTAAAATATTCTATTACATCACCTAGTTCCACTGAAACAGATCTACTTTCAACAATCGCTATGACCAATTCAATTTTAGCACCGACAATTGTAGCAAGTACTGGTGGCTTAACATCTAATGGTTGGTGTATATTTGTGTATAATTTAGCTCCAGAAGTAGAAGAATCTAATTTATGGCAACTATTTGGTCCATTCGGTGCTGTACAATCTATTAAAATTGTATATGATACAACTAATAATAAATGTAAAGGTTTTGCTTTTGTTACAATGAGTAATTATGAAGAAGCTGTATTAGCTATTCATTCATTAAATGGATTTGTATTACATAACAGAATTTTACAAGTATCATTTAAAATAACTAATAGTAAATCAAGATCATTTGCATTAAGTGCATTATCATCATCATCATTATCGACTCAATCAAATTCCATACCTTTTGATACATCCATAAATTCATTAAATATACAACAAACATTATCAAATCAACATGATCATTTTAATTCAGAGAAAATAATTAACACCAAAAATTCACTGATCATTGATACACCAGTGACAAATAATTATGAAAAACAACAAACACAACTTCAACAACATACATCACAATTATATCATCAAAATAATCTACAAAATAATGGAAAAACATTTTCCACCGAATTAAATGATCATAATTCTATCAAATCAATCATTACAGATACACAAAATAAATCTATATCCCCTAAAAATTCATCTATCCAATTAGTAACAAATAGTTTTAAGAAAGCGAGTAGTATTAACAGTAAATATATTAAAACAGTATTAAATGATAAAACACAAACAGAATTATTTGATCCATTCATAATTGAACAATTACCAGTGAAATCAAAACATATAGATTTGGTAAATAATTCAAACAAACAAACAAATAAGAGTAGAAATTCACAAAAGAAAAAAGAATACGGTGATTCTAAAAAAAATAACAAACTGAACAACAGTCTGCAATAGTAATCACTTGTAGAATGTAATAGAAAAAAAAGGATAGAAGCAAATAGTAAGGTCTTATGAACCAGTAGTAGATCATTATTGATTAGAGAGAGAGAGAGAGAGAAAGAGAAAGAGAAGGATTTTATGCCTTCATTTTTCAATGTTCATTTTATTCTTTGTAAACTTAATGTCTATTTAGTTCTTTTTTTTTTCTTCTTTGATTTCATTTGAACTTATTATATTAGATGAAATCCAGTGTTAAATTTTAACGATCAGTTTATATTTCTATTATTCTATTTATCTTATGTTTAGTTCATGTTAAACACTTTGTACTGTAGTAAAGTGATAGAAATTGGTAAATTTAGTACTAATAACTAATTAACTAACTTGTGTAGTGTTGTAATGAATCTACTAAAGCAATGAAATATATTACTTTATTGGTTTTATGAAATTTGCTATGTTTTCCTTGACTTTTCTAAATCGCAGATATGAAAAATAAACTCTAGTCACAAATCAGTGATGGATAGTAGCTAGCAGTGGAATCCAAGACGCACGTTTCGTCCTGTTTGGGACTCGTCAGCTGGATGTACCTGCATCTCAGAGTTGATATGCCAATAAGAGACTGATCAATTTCAGTCCTAAAAAATCAATGCGAAGATTCAAGTAAAACAATACCAAGCGAATTAAACTTCACCTCATTGCACAAGCAAGTGACTATCAGGAATCAGTAGCAAAGTGGATAAGGCGATGGCGTTTGAAGCGAATGGTACTGGGTTCGAGTCCCAGAGTGAACTTCAACTCTGAGATGCAGGTACATCCAGCTGACGAGTCCCAAATAGGACGAAACGCACGTCGTCGATTCCACTGCTAGCCATTATTCATCTTTGCTTATAATGCTTGTAAATTAAGGCAATATCGAGGCATACGCACAGTATGTACATATGCCAATAAGAGACTAATCAATTTCAGTCCTAAAACATCAATGGGAAGATTCAAGTAAAACAATACCAAGTGAATCTAGTCACAAAGTGACTATTTCATATCATTCGAATAGTAAATATCTATCCTATTCAGTAATATTATATTAGTCTATTATATAAGATTTAAAATATTAAAAATTCTCATATTGGGACTGAGAGCAATATTGTTTTCAATTAGATTCTTATCAGGCTTTAACGTAATATACAACGAGATTTATATACATATAAGAAATCTTTAAATCAACCAAGGCAGTTTATGAATCAATGATAACACTGAGATGAATTACATTGAAAAAAGACATTAGTAAAGAGTAAAAATTGATAGTGTGATGATAGGTGGACCAGTTGCAATAAGAATTACAAGGGCTTAAATTAATATTTAATAATAGGAGGTAGGTCAATGACTTAAAAATATAGACAATGACATAGTATTCATCAAAAATCATTATATTACATAATAAGAAGTGTTCAGATAATTGGTCAGTGAAACGTATATTAGAAAAAATAAGGGTGAAGAAATATAAACGAACAAAGAGTAAGGAAATACTAATAGATAAAAAACTTTTATTAAGGCTTGTTCGGTAGAGGACGAAATAAGGGTGTTGTAAATTCCAGATGAATACAAAGACTTAGACTGTCAGCTCTAATCCTAGTAACTTCTGATATGTGTAAGAGCCAAGATCGAAAACTAGTAGTAATCTGACCTAAAAATGACCTATTACTGTTTTATGCACGACCGCTATCGATCAAGTGTAACTGAACAGAGTTGTGTACTGTTTTGATGATACCCTGTTCTAACCACTTAGGGAGGTGTTTACACGATGTTAGTTCGCTTGCACGATTGTACGCCAACCCAATCAACCAACAAAGGGGAAAATGCGTTGGAAAATTAAGGGGAAACGCGCCAAAATGTCTGCTTTTTCGCTTGTCCGGGGGAAATAATGCGGATTTCCCCCTTTTTGTCGCTTTGTCTCTTAAATGTCGCTGAATTGTCTACTTTTTGCTTAAATATACGCATCACGTTAGTTATTTGTGATGGCTATGAAGTGTGTCGGAACACTAGCTAAAAAAACAAAGTTAGTGTATATGCGTCTCAGCCAAATCCCTGTATCCCTATTTTGTTACTTGTGTTTATGACAATAGTTTTTTTTTATTAAAGGATGCGTTATTTTGTCGACGGTTATGAAAACGTAAGTACGGGATGTGGGATATTCAAACACCGTACGTTACGTATAAGTGTCGACAAATATCCCCCAAACACACGACGTAAGGTGGAAAAATTGACATTTCCCCTAAATAACCAACGTGAAGGCAAAAAAGCGATATTTCCCCTTTATTTACGCTTTCGTCCCCTTTATTTCCCCTTCGTTGGTTGATTGGGAAACTGGCTGACTCGTAAGCTGTTTTACTGGTTTAACAATTTCATATATGGGTATAGATATTCTTGTATATTAAAGCCTGATAAGGATCCGATTGTGCTCATTCAAGGGATTTTCACTTCCAAAAAACTGTGTATTAGTAAAACAAACCATTCCTGAAAGCTTGTAGGGTCTTTCAACTAAACTTATTGGTTGATTACCGGGTGTTGAAATGTACCAATTGAAACGAGGCTGAGACAAAATTTGATTGGTAGTTAACTTGACCTTGAGAAGGACAACCGCGGTCAATTTTTGTATCTTTGTTTTCAATATGAGCTATTGATTGGTAGCAATCTATAAACTATTACTTGATCCGCAATGGCATCTCCTTTGCTCGCGAAGGTTGGTACGTGCATTGTACATTCTGCTTTGGGCTCGCAAACATGTACTTTGGACTCATTCTGGCGAGTAAGTTATTAAACGTGGTTTTTAATCTACAAATAATGTTTATGAACATTTAAATCCTACTGGTCATATTCTGTTTTGAGTAAAACTGATCGATACTAGAGCGTTTTTTTTATCATTGATAGACTTTATTTATACAATTGACTTTGCCGTAAGCCTTTACTGGAACTTAGTATCAGACTTCAGTAATATATTACTGAACTTATAAGTACAGTAGGTTGGTGAATCTGTGTTAATCTTTACAGATTGCCGTCTAGTGAAGGTCCAGTTTCTCCTTGAAAATATTCGCTGATGGGGCTGATACCACTTGTTCGGGTGGGGCGCTCCGGTCACTGACTACTCGATGAGAAAAACGGAACCCCGCTTTAAGTTTATTATATCGCGGTTTGTGAACCTTTTTTCTATGACCTCGGAGATTATTAGTGCTGGAGGGAGCAAAAAGATAAGACATATTAACACCCAAATCATAATTGAAGATAAGAAATGCTAGTATAAGATCACCTCGCTTCCTACGATATGACAAGTTGAAAAGGTTTAAGTGTTTTAAGCGCACATCGTAAGGGAGTCTAGAAAGACCCTTCACTAATTTTGTTCCCACACGCTTAACACGCTCAAGTGAGTTAGTATCCTTTACCAGATATGGGTTAGCTGCTTGGATACAGTACTCTAATTGTGGTCTTACATAGGTGGGATATAAAATTCGAAACAACTCGTCGAATCATTTCTTAGTATTCTGTACATCAAAATCAGATCACCTGTGATCTGATCTGTCATAGGACGGAGTAAAGAGGTCTAGCTTTTCAAGTAGCTCTTTGTATGGTAGACCCCAGAGTTCTGGAATTGCACGGGTAGCTGCCCTCTGTACTTTTTCCAGGATATCCGAGTCACATTTTAAACAGGGGCTTGCAGCCTGAATTCAGTTCTCAAAATTAGTTCTCACTAAGGTTGTGTATACTCTAGTGAACATGGTAGCATGTAAACGGGTGATTGCCCGTCTTAAAGCTCATGGGGTTCTAAACCCCGCGGCTGCAACCTCCAGGCGATGGGCCGTAGTCTTGATATCATGACTCATTGTCACCCCAAGATCCTTGTAAGACCGGATCACGGGTACAGGCACTTCCCCTATGCTGTACCTGTTTACTTTTGTATTCCTGAGGTGCATTTAGATATACTTTGCCGCGTTAATAGGCATTATCCACTCTTTAGACCAGTTAATCGAAATATTTAAGTCTGCCTGAAGTGTGCATGCATCTGCGTCTCCCGTTATTTCTTGCCAGATTTTTACATCGTCAGCCTATAATAACATTGGAGACTGTACTAAACTTGGGAGATCGTTTACATACAGTATGAAATGTAAGAAACCTAGGACAGAACTTTGCGGTACTCCACTAAGTACTGATCTCCAGGTGGAGCACTTGGAATTTATTCTTACTTTTTGTCTACGACTTACTAGGAAATCTTTAATGCATTTTAGCAGCGGTCCAGCAATACCAAGGTTTTCTAGCTTTAATAGCAATCTGTTTGTTGGCATCTTGTCAAATGCTTTGCTGAAGTCTATGTAGACAACATCCAGTCTTTTTCCGTTGCCTAGAGTTTTTATCCATTATTCCCTTGCTATAAAAAGGTTTGTTGTACAAGATAAACCTTTTCTGTCCAGGCTATGTATGGTTGAATTACTCGATCTTATAGCCGCCTGAAATGAGTCTGTGCCTTTTGTACTGATGCCCTTGAGTCAGTTTCCCAGTTTTCAGCCGATACTGTGGAGTTGATTGCCTCCATATCTGCTTTCCATATATTAGGACGGGCCGGCGCAACTGTCTGACAGGCAATCTCAGCCATGAATTTGAATAATATGACTGAATGGTCACTTCTCCCTAGTGGTGGGAGGAAAATCATTTGACCGACTTCATTACCGTGTATAAAGACTTAATCCAGGAAAGACGTGGAGCTTTAAGTCATATCTAGTGAGATCTCTATTGTGCTGGAATAAAGCTAGTGCAATTGAAGTTTCTAACAGTTTGCAATAGAATGACGTTGTTGATGATCATACTTCTAAGTTTACCCAGTTTATATGCGGTGCGTTAAAGTCGCCTACTATAAGGCTTTTACCCCTATTACACCAGGATTTAAGTTTGCTTAGGAGGAAGTCATCTACTACACATTATAAATTGCGATATACTATAGCTAATTCAATATCTTGCCGTCTACATTTCAGCCTGCAACGCACCAGTTCACATGTCCCTGAATCATGTGCCACTGTTTCAACAGCTCGTATGGCTAAGGTACTTTTCGTTTACAGGATAACCCCGTCTCCCCTACAATTTAATTTGTCAGCCCTACTGGACAAAAAAAACTGTCAATTGAATTTCATTATCAAACAATTCTGTTGTTAACCATGTTTCTGAGACAACAATAACATCCAGCTTTTCTGTATCCATCATTGTCTTGAGCTCCTCCATTTTACTTGGTAGTCTGAGAGCATTTGTGTAGCACACCTTTAATTCTGTGGAGAACTTTCCCTTACTACACAGAGTGGTTTGGGGATTGCTTTGCTCCGAACTTTTACAATTTGAAAACCCTTAAGAATGAAGTTTCTTTCACCGTTACGGCAACACTCATTTATTTCTACTTATACAGCTCGTCTCTTGATGCGGTTAACCGGGCTGAGATCTTCACGGGGGGGTCCACCTTTATGGTCTTGTTCAAATCCAGAGCTGAGCTCATGATGTTGGGATATTCAGGAAAATATCCCAAAATTCATAACACATGATAACACTCTATTTCCTCGAAAGCGGAATTCCACTCATCTACTGCTGTCTGTTTATCTGAGGGTAACTTTTTAGCTATGTTTAGCAGCTCGATCGCCTCTAGAATCAGCAGAGACTTAGTAGAACAACATTCTTTACACAACCAACGTGATAATGGCGTGCAGCACCGTTTATATGCAACCGGTGTGAGTCCGGTGCACACATTATGATATCGTTTATTGTTGTTATCACATTCGATCCCCTAATCGACCGGGAAATAGCAATGATGTTTTACTTGCGCCACAAATTTGTTTTGTGGTCTCACAGTAAAAACTGATCTCTAGATAAATTGTATTTTAAGGATTGATAGGTGATATACACTGAACACAAACAAAAACAGGTTTGTATATAACTGTACATAACAACAACAAAAACCCCGATTTTAGTAGTTAGAAAAAGACCTTAACACCTACAGATACAAACAATACTAAAGGATGTACTCAAGGAGGAAAAATAAATACCAGTGCCCTTAGTTTTTTGTGTCTGTACTCGGAAAGTACAGATGATAAACTTCTCTAGAAAAAAGCGGTACTGTTAGGGATTACTTTAACTGAAATAAATTCAATTAAAGCAAAAACAGTAGTCTTGATGCGTAATTTAACGATCAATGCTATAAAATATACTCAGAGGAAAAATGCCACTGTACTTTTTAAATAGCGACAGAAACGTCTTGTCAACTTGGAGTGTTATCACCTCTGTGGGCACAAAGATATATTAAAGTACTAGTAGATATCAACTATGTCACTAATCAATTAAGTCTTGTTGAAGTGAGTTTAAAGAACACCTTCATCTTTGTTGAGGAAGGTGAAATAATCCAGGTTTTCTAAAATCTTTGAGCAGCAAACCAAGCATGTTTCGGATGCGTCTCTCTCCCTCTAGATACAACATTTAGCTTGAAAACGGATTTGTGTCTTCGCCTGAACTAATAAGGGTTAAAGTAGTTGGGCATATTGATCATTCCACTTGAAAGTCACATTACCTCTAGTGGGTGGTGGTCGACCCGATAAAATATCGGTACGGATTTAAAAATCTCGATTGTCTTTTGCCAACTTACATGACTTGTGTCTTAGTCGAGACATTCGCTCACCAACTTAAAGGTTTGTATACCGCCAAATACTCCCTTTCCTCTTGCTTTATCACTTCAGAACCTTCGTAGGTTACTATTATTTAATCATAGACCCCTTTGAAGCATTACTCATGAATGTTGGGACCATCGAGTGAGCAATTTTGAGGTTAAACTCCAAGTAATAGGTAAAGATGGCAAATCGACTGACAAGACAGCGAATCTTCAACCGAGGTATCTGAAGCATATATTATGTATGTCCAACTATTACCTACCTCGACAGGCGATGATGGCTGATATATGCATGTGTTGGAAGAAAATTAGAGGCGGCCAAACTAAAACAGGCCATCAGTCCACGAAGTTATTAACTTTTGGACTGAGATCTATGAATGTGTACAAACTACCTGGTTGGTTTCCGAATGATTATCGTAACTAACGGTTGTACACCCTGAATTGTATTGGCAAGAATCGTACGCAGTGGTGTAGACGTAATCATTCTCTCTTCCTTTGGATCTCACGTTTCTCAATTATCTGAAAAAATTTTCGTTTTAATACATGAATCCATATTCTATTCTCGACTCATATGTCGTATATGTATTCTCTTCTACTATCAGTAATACTGTTATTACTTATACTACTCTGCTATCTCGCTTTCTCTATACGATATGGCAACTTGAACCGGTGCATATATGTTACAGGTCCTACGTTGTATATGACTGACTGATTAGTTGAAGGACAGGAAATGTATAATATACTAAGTCACGAAGCGTCAGAATTACAATTTTTCTATTCATTAGGATATAACAAAACATATCTTTATTATCAAATCTCTATCCAATGCTCAATTCATTTGAAAACATAATATGCTAGTTTTCTGTTGTTTGTAGACCATATTCAAATTTCTCTTACTAAGTTTATAGTGTACGAAAAACTTTTAAAAGGTATGTGATTTCTGTAAATAATTTCAATTTTGTTGTGCAGTCCTCATCATATCATTTGTAAAAATGATCGCTTCATTATTTAGCCCATCAGTCACAAAAAATACACTAATATACATTGACTCACATTTAACATCAGTATATTAGTTGGCGCAGGAACAGTTCAGTCGTTAAAACACATAACTTTTAACTATTAGGATTCAGGTTGTAATACTACCTCACGTACTTCTATTTGCGTCTCCAACTAGTATCACCAGCCCTCACACTCAAAGTGGTGCCAAAGCAAGTACATAAATCTGCTTGGCTAATAATTTTCATTTCATCTTAATTTCTAAATAAATGATTCTTTATACATCTATACCTGTTTAAACTAATTCCATACCCAGAGACGGCTTATTTAAAAAGATCTCTAGGGTGGCTTTCTGTAGTCACTACGTTCTCTCTGCATGCCGGAAATCGTATCGGATTGCTCATTTCCTTTACTGTAATAGACAAGGGTAACGATATGCTGTAACAGTTTGTGATCAAACGAGTTGAGCGATTAATCTGTTATCAGCTATTTCCAATAAATAAAAGGTGCGATAGTGCCCTTTACACTAAGACTCCCTAGTTCATTTGATCAACGTTTCAGTCTATATAAAAGGAATTTTTAAACTTCATACTTTAGGCTTCGGTATGCTGTTTTTATTTCAATATATGATACTGCACGTTACAAGAGCTATAGTAAAAGTTTACGATTAGTTGTCATGTGGGACTGTCTCTATAGCCTTTATGAGCATCGATATTTACGTACAGCATATCTACAAGTTGATCTGTCAGTTATACAGTTCTAATATTTTCAGGAATTACACTTTGTTAATATAAATCAGGGATCAATTGATCAGAGAATACCATCAGATCTTGGGTAGAAATAACAATCTGCCTATTTCGATTCGGCAACCAATTTTTATCATCAGGCTTTACTCATATTGTGTAGCTCAAAGCTTAAGATACACAGTGGCTCTGATTAATAATAAGTACTGCATTATCATTCATTTCAAATATTACTCACGTTTATGAAACCATGATGACGTCAACGTTTTTGATATCACTAAGATTTTGTTGCTATTGTCAGAAATGTCTAGTCTCATAATTTCTTTCTATATTAGTCATGTTAAATGTAATTTCTTCTACCGCAGTTTCGCTCACTTTATTAATCTCTTTCACAATACTAACTACACGTTTGTTATTCACTGAGTGTTCTACTTCTTTTTTTCCGTTATCTCAAAGGAATTTGCATGTAGTATGTAACAGCTTTATTTTCTCGTGTAGCATGAGAAACTTTGTGGACCAGTATGCTTCGTATAACCAACGGGATTAGTATGTACATGGCTAAAAATATGCCACTAATAATTTAGCCTCAAAACTCATCTCAATGTGAAATATGCTTTGTGTCCAAGTAGTATTTCTCATTTTGTAAATATCTGTCTATAACAGTGCTTAAGGTTTCAGTAAAAAGCTTTCTATTATATCTAATAGATTTCAAAGCAACCTTTGAGAAAGTCTGTCGAAGAAGTTAAAAACTACATCATCGAGTAAAACTGCTAATTGTTTAGTGGTAAAATTTTGGTGACCTTGTTCCAAAGATTTTATAGTCTAAAACATCAATGGGGTCCTCAAATGCCTTTAAACTCCTGATTGGTCGTTTTTTGAGCAGTGTTGAGTAAGGAAACAAAAGGGAAGTTTACGAAATTGTTGCTGAACACTCAAACATGTTGTGGGACTTTTCAAACATAGTGCTTAATTAGTGCAGTCACCTACGCTTTAGGTGTTGTTGTAAGACTGATTTAATAACCACATTTGATGCATTTGTCACAAGTTATAATGGTTATTGAGTATTTAGACGAACAAGCAGAGTTTTTGGACTTTGAGTACTTCTTAGTTTTTCGAACGCTTTCACCTCTGGAGACGTGATTTATAGTATTTTGACTCGACTCTTCAACAGATCGGCCAATGGCCAACTAACCTCATCAACTGGCTTTATATTTTACAGTTGCGATCACCTTAGTTGACAAAAGTGCACAGTCACGTCCACTGGTTTATCAGCTCTGCTTCGTAACCCATCTCGAGTCTCAGTCACTCATTTCAGCATGCTGGAAAGCAACTGAAGAGTATGTAGAAGCTAGTTAGACTTTTTCATTGTTCAGTGGATTTTTGTTGTGTATTTTCCTGCGATGACTTATTTTACGATCCTGCCTCTTTGGTGAATCTAAGCATTGGGCTTTTTAACATTTCGAATTCCAGTTCTAGGAGATCAGGGACAACATTTTTAAAGCTAAGATTGTTATTACTAATTGGATATGTTGAATAAATTGAAGTGAGCAAAACAAAGCCTATCATAAATGTAGCTGACACGGGAAACGGGATTATTATTTAATGTCCTGGTAACCTAAGAATATGATAGCCAGTCCTAAGAAGTACCTTCTTGAAGTCGTCCTAATGAATATTTAATTTGATTTTTCTGAGATTAACTTTGTATTTCTCAAACCATATCCTTAGCATCTTACTAATCTCACAGCTCATTTGGCGCTACTTCGTCTCTCCATCTGATTAGGAATTTATTGCTTTTGAACTTGTCACAATCGAATTTATTGGCTGGATGTTGTAATAGGACTGATCTTAACATCGAATGGTTGTAGAGGCTAATTCTCCTCTATTTAACTCCAATAGACGATGTCACGTTCAGTGAATATTTTAGCAGGTCAGTTTTCCTAGTTGAAACTGTTGTTTAACCGGAGAATACTCAAAAGCCAGAACATCAGTTGTTGGGATAGTGTATTGTTAGTTATTAATAAAATCTACAAGAACGCGGATATATATCGATAAAGTTAGGATGTAAGCATGATGAAAATCCATAGGGCCAATAATGATCATAATAGAAAAAGAGAATTTTTGTGTTATATGGATAATCTCAGAATTCGGTCTAGATAAATATGGGGTTACCGTATAACTGGCCAATGCACTGTAGGTCCCGATAAGCATTATGAATAGTAACTTTTGGGATCCATTTATGGACCAATAGTATGCGTATATTTTTATCGTATAATTGTTAAATAACTAAACTGTTCACATTCATGTCCCTCTTATTATGAGCTTTATTTTGACCTATGAACTGTTATACGATCTACCATTCTTGAATTATGCCCTGTCTATTAATTACTACCTCCCTGATTCACAGCCACATCTGGCTAATACTTGTACAAATGTTTCATACTTTGTTGGTACGGTGTGGTCTGTTTGATTGGTATATAAACCCCGTATGTTTGAAATAAATGCTTCATATTGCAGAGGCTGAGATTGGTGTTCTGAACTCAACTGGCTGGGCTAGGCAGAAAGCAGAACCAATCAGGACTCTAGACTGCTCGTGCGTGTTTTATGCGTCACTGCTCCGATCGATAATTCACTACTCTCTAATTGGCGGCATCATTACGTATACATTAGAAGGGCACTCAGGCCACAAGTTATAACAGTATCATACCATATTTTGATTTCCCATTTTCATTTATATCGATCCTCCTTTTTCCTGCTTAGTTTTACATTGTTATTTCCACTTATTTGACTTTCCTCTTGTTTAATACGTTGGTTACACTTGTCTGCCTATTTTTGGTTTGTTAATGAGCGAAAACCCCAAATATAATTCTTACCAATTATCCTTTAATCATTGAACGTTGAGGTCATTATTTGTAGATAGTGTTCTGCAAATGTTGAACCAATCCCAGGTACATATACTCTGCTTCTATCTACACTTTTAAATGAGATCTGGTTATACTAGATGGTTGCCAAAAACTAGCTTCGAATCTGTAATGAATTGTTCAACATTCGAGTGTGTAAGCTGTTATGCTATTGCTCAATTTTTTTTGTAACGAGTATGCTTCACCATCTGTGTTTTTTTTGTTAAGTCATTCTTTTTATTCATCGTACAATTAGGATCAAACATGTATTATTACATTCTTTCGTCGTTTGGGATGTAAATTTTGCCGACTAGAAGCTAAAAATTTGAGTCATTTAAAACCTGCTTTGGATGCACGCAATATTAAATTAATGGGAATTACATTCGATGAAGGTGGTGTAAAAGAATTTGTAGATGGACACTATTTTGATGGAGGTAAATAACTATATAGACATACATTTGTGATATAATAATCTTTTGATATTCATTTCTGAAACTAATTAGTGACGAAATTATGGAATTCATTACATACAGTAGCAGACCAGTCTGTTTTCAATAATAATTTACTGTTCATCATCATATCGAGGTGTTCACTCAACCAAAAGGGAAGAATAGTTACATTGATTGAACATTGAGTTGTGACCGGTGTCATATTTCTTTAGTCCCTATTGCTTGTCGATTATCATCGATGTAGTTGAAATTTAGGCACTACTCTAAGTGATTAACATCATGAGCACTATTTTTTGATATTAGGTTTTTTGAGGTAGCTGAGAGGAAACCTTGCTTGAGGTAAGTTTCATGCTAGTTGGCGCTTGTCAGCAGTACTTATTTGCAGTCCTATAGGAATTGATACTCTTGTGAGGTTCGAACCTGAGTCACTCAGCTTCATGATCTGAAACGTCCAAATCACATAGAAGGGTAAGTTCCCTCAAAATTGCAGGTACGTTTTGCTGATGAGTCCCAACTAGGACGAGACGTAGGTCCACTGTTTCGTGCCATCTACTTTTAACAAGTTAAAATCAGAGGTTTTTTTCTAGCAGTAGTGCGTCTGACAATTTGGTTTTTCAATACCTTTGAATGTCTTGAATTACGTTTATTTGATAATAATAATATTGAAAGTCAATGATCGTATTTTCTTTAATATTTTTCCAAGTCGAGTTAATGTAACTTGTCTGTATCTCTATTAATTACTTCAAAGTTTCGAGACATTTATTGCTCAACCAATGTGTCGCAGATTATTTCCTATAAAATTATTATCACTTTCTGCGTTGGCTTGCTATGTTTCTTATTACATACTAACCATATGACTTAATATTAATCGATTCCCATTGGAAAAGGTTTAGATACATACTCGCTATCAAAACTTGCGATCCCTACTGAAAATGCTGTAAGAAGCATGTACAGTTTCTCAATTAGTGTCTTTAAACAGTCATATAAAGTGAATGGTTTATTGTTAACAGATGTATTCAGCTTATTATTATTATTATTATTATTATATTCATTGTAATCTTAGGAAAAGTAATAATAACTATATCATCCAACGTTCTCCATTACTTGACTTTAAATTAAAACCATTATTTAATATCATTGTAGATCTTTATTTAGATCCTGAACGTAAGACATATAAAGCTTTAGAATATAAAAAGGTCTCCGCCTGTTCTGGTTTCTGTTCTTTACTGACGAAAGCTGGCCGTTCTTTAAATTCAAAGGCAAAGGTAATATGCGTTTTCTTTAATAAAAAAGTCATTAAATCGTCAGAAAATTTAAAGTACACTTTTCCTTTTATTTGTCTAAATGCAATAACATAGAGAATAAGAATAAATCGACTGAGATATGAATTCAAACCAATGGTATTGTTATAATCAATTTAAGGTTATGTCACATGATTCTAACGTTTGCTTAGAATTCTACCAGAAAAATCTCTAGTTCTTCCCATTATGACTCAATCAATAATTATTATCAGTATGTTAATTTGTAGAGATTGTAGTATTTCCACAGTTGAATTCACGAGTCAATCTATGATATTAACACCGTTGTATGCCGGTTCACTGGTCTAGAGGATAAGTGTTCGCGCGCGAGACCGAAAGTCCTGGGTTCGAGTCATACGTGCGGGATCGTGGATACGCACTGCTGAATCGTCCCGTGCTAGGATGGAACGACCGTCCAGAGCTTCCAGGTTTTCAGTGGCGGTCCAGACTAGATCGACTTTTGAATTCAACACAAAATGGGACATTTTGTGTTTGTATTATAATTTTTACAATCTTAACGCCTACAAAGAACTCCTAATTTGACTTCATATGTAAATGTAATACTGTCACTATATGTTTTAACTGTATGACATTATCGTCTGTCTCTCCTAGACACCTGTATAGTTGGCAAGATCGTAAAATATGAAAGTAAATATTTCTAGAAAACTACTTGTTGAGATTAAAGCGATTAGTCCCTTTGATAAATTTTGATAATGTAATAAGAATAATCTTTGTCTTCTTATTACATTATCGAAATTGTTAAGATTAGTTTGAAGTTCAACCTGTGTAAATTTAAGCTAAAAAAGTGATAAATAATGGGAGTGTATACAAGGTTACTTTGTATACTTAATCTTTATTATACAAGATAATATCTTACTTGTATTATTGTTGTGAACTAAAAGTCGATCCCGTATTACTGAATGAGAACGATTGAGAGATCCTTTTAATAAGGAAAGTTACCCTATGCGAACTAGATAAACCCGTTGACCAATACACAACAATTCAACAATAACCCACCGATCGACAAAACAGAAGATATGTAAGAAAGATATCAGTCGGTCAGCTACAACGTACGACCAGGCACATATATGCATCGATCCAAGTTGCCACACATCATTAGCACAACAAGATGAACACCAAATCCATAGAAGTAGTTAATTCATAGGTGGTAATATATCAAAGAAAGATTGTGTATAAGGATGTAACACAGGAAGAAAGAATTAGTTGGTAGAAATAAAGCAATTTTAATCTCACGGTTTAAGGGAAGACATAGAGTGTATACACCGACGCCATCATGATCGATTCCTAGCCATTTCATCCAGAGTATTCAACCATTGGTTACAGTAGTGACGTGGACCCCAACCAAGTAGTCTGTACCTGACTGCATGGCTTAGACAAGAAGTTAGTGACTTCAAGGGCTGATGCCACGTTTTGGTTTGACCGCCCCTAACTTTCTTCCAACCATTCCCCACACTAGTCAGCATTGCGCGTCGTGGTAATCGGTGTTCAGACGTAAGCAACACGTGGCCCAACCATCTCAGTTGGTGAAGATTTACAACCTCATCAACTGATTTACCATCATTCCCTAATACCCTGTGTCTAACCTCACTATTACCCGGTAATCCCATCAGATGTTGGCAATATTTCTAAGGCATCTGTGGTCAAATACTAGTAGCTTACGAGTATCTACTGTTAATGGCCACGTTTCGCAGATGTAAAGTAGAACAGAACGGACTGCCGCGCAGTATACTCGTCCCTTAATTGATAGATGGATATCTCGCCTTCGCCACTGGTGACGTAAGTTTGCAAAAACCAAACGAACCTTTCGAGTCTGTGCTGAGATTTCGTCAGACACCAACCCATTAGGGCTGATCAGACTTCCAAGGCAAGTGAAGTTGTCAACGCGTTTGACTACTTCACTCCCTATCCTTAGCTTAGGTGTTGACTTGCATTTAGATGGGGAAAAACGCATTCCAAACACCCTGGGATTGTTGCTCAGTGTTATCAAAACACTCTGTATTTTACCAGTCTTCACCAAACAGGACTATATCATCTGTGTATTCTAAGTCGATAAGTGTACCTCCTGGTAGGAGATCAATGCCCGAAAATTCAGTCGACGAGAACGTTATTTCCATCAGTAGGTCTATGTTGAAGCTAAACAAAAATGGAGAAAGTGGACAGCCTTGACGGACATCACTTGAGGTTGCAAAAGCAGATGAAAGTTTGCCATAAGCTCTCACTCGACTGGTAGTGTTCGAGTAAAGAGCCTTCACAAGGTTTATGTACTACAGTCGCTGCCTTTTCCATCTCTTTTGATTTCGTCGCCCACCATTGCTCACAGTTGTTCCTTAGACTTTTGGTTAACTTAGATCTGATTTGTTTTCACTCTTCACCGTGTTCAGAGCCTGATGGAATGAGTTTACAAGAATCTATCAGTACAAGAGACTTAGTAAAAATCGATTTGTTATTCATAACCCTTCGGTTTTGATCACTAATGGATGTCGCTGCTATTTCCACAGCTGTTTGTATATCTTTCCAAGCAACATCTGGGCTGGCCTCGTTTTTAGAACCCTCTAAGTGTGACGTCAGTTGTTCCTGGAATTTACTTTTGGCTTTCTTGACACAATTCAACTATAATGGGTTTTTTAAATATGGATTTTCTGTGTCCAGAGAGGCGCAAGCAAATGCGTGCTCATATTAGAGCAAAATCAGAGTCTAACCATATACTTCAGAATGATCGGCAGTCTTCTATCGAGCCTCTTCAACGATGAGTGGTGGTAATATGGCCTATTTGAGTCCATCGTTGGTTTGGTGCAGGGGGTCACTATGTTAGACGATATCTCTTCTTATGCCTAAAACCAGTGCTTGTTAAAAATACACGATTATTTGAGCACTGTTGTAGCAGACGCTCACCATTATCTGTTCGCTGAGCTAGAATACTAGAATACAATCCTAAATGTCTTTCTGTTTGGTTTAAGCTACTTACTTGGGAATTAAATTCACCTGATACGAGTACTATGTATGAGTGTTTAACTTTCTGAAGAAGTTCAGAGAGCTTTCTGTAAGTCATCTTTCATTTCATCCGAGCTGCAGTCAGCGGGAGCGTAGGAAGAAACGACGGAAAGGCGACGACATGTGTCCCTATCTTTCCGAGTTCTTACGGTGCTACTTAGCCGAACAGCACATAGGCGGCTGTTAACGGGGATTCATTCTAATAGTGCTTGTTCTGCCATCGTACTTAGTGTTATGCCTACACCCACCAGTCATTCAATGTTCACTGGAATTAATGACCAAATATGAGACCTAATTCTTACTTCATCATATCATCGAGAACAATCAATTCCGTTAGTAATTTACCTTTTGCGTATATTAATGTCTGTCGACTAATCAAATCAAGTCTACCAGAAACTCAATGTTCAAAACCGGACTCTCGCATACAACAGAAACTGTTGGAACACATATAATAAAATCTAATCTTTGTATTTAAAAAAATTATTCAGCCTCTGAATTTATCCTATTTTCACTAGAATAGCCTTTTTGGACGTTCTATTAACAAAAAGAATTGATGGGTCAATAAGAAGGCATTTAAATAGGAAAACTACCTGGACAGGGTAATATACATATTTCCTTAGTCTTGTACCTTTACTGTAAAGAAGAAACCTGATCAAAACTCTTATTTATCGAATATGTACTATATGTTCTACAGATATAGTTGAAGAAGAGCTAAACGTCTTGCGTGGTACATTTAGGGAAAATGGATACTTCGGAGGACTTGAGATAATATCCTTCAGAAAATGATCACGATAGTTCAAATTCATCCAGCCTAACTTTTGAATCGTGAACGTTCATCGCTTCTCGAGTTTTATACCATGTTTTCTTGTCACATTTTACTATATGTTATTGACTGTCTTCTGTTTGAACGATGGCCATCACCAGGTTTCTCGTCATAGTATCTTTTTAACTATTCTCGATCGCCAGTTATTATGCTTAGGTACCTCTACAGCATCATCGATGAACAAGAAGGATCCAATGCCAACATAAAGGCGAGGATTAGCAAAGCAAAGGCCACATTCCTACAATTGAAAAACATATGGAACTCAAAGCAACTGTCATCAAAAATCGAAATCAGAATCCTCAATAGGAGAGTCGAGGTAGTTCTACTGTAAGGAGCTGAAACGTGGAGAACTACCACAACCATGATCAAATTAGTACAAGTATTTATAAACAATTATCTACGCAAGATACTCAATGTTCGTTGACCAGAAGCCATCAGTAATAACGCACTGAGACAGAGAAAAAACCAGCTTGTAACTGGAGAGGAAATCAGGAAAAGACTTTGGAGGTGGATAGGACACATATCGTGGAAATCGTCAAACTGCATCGTGAGGCAAGCGCTAACTTGGAATCCTGAAGGGAAAAAGAATAGAGGTAGACCATTAAACATACTATGCCGAGAATTAGAAGCAGACAAGAAAAGGATGAATAGCAACTGGAAAGTATTTCCTGGGACAGTGTTGGATGGAGAGTACTGGTGGACGGGCTATGCTCCTTCACGAGATTTAACAAGTGTAAGCATGTAAATGAGTAATTTATGCTGAATGGATCGTCGAAGTTTCTAACATTCACTAGTGATGTTGAATATGTAAGAACCCAAACAATCTGTTTTCCTAAATGTGTTTAATTGAAGAGTTCCTACAATCCAATGACAGAATCGTAGTAAATTTTATAAACCGTTAAAATTATGACTACCTTTTTTCAGTGATATCTTGTTGGATAATAATCAAACCTATGAGGCAGCCTAAATCAATGCATATTTGTGCCTCATCAATTGACATAAATAGTATTATTTTCAGTTCTTCATAAAGGAAGATTGAATATACGTTCGTAGTTTTAGTCAAGAACCGATCTTAGCTATACTGCTACTTATGACCAGGATGCACTGGACGGTTTTCGTGCAGGGCTCCTCAACAGTGTACCGATGCAAACGCTTAACTTCTTGATCACTGAGGTGTCTTTCACCAGAATGAAACAGCTGTCAAATGCTTCCTCATTTTTAATGGTGGTCTAGGTAAGGTCAGTGCATGGATGTAAACTGTGCAGATTCTACAATGTCCACGAAACCCTTTACCGAATATACGTTTAATTAAAAATATGAAGAAATTAATATTAAGCCATGTTTTTAGCTACTAATAAACACTACAGTCATTGATAATACTAAATATAATAATGATCGTTATCTTTTATATTATTTTTATTAGGCTGCTAATATACCTGGTAATATGACTGGCGATGGTTGGCAAACTGGTGGACTTCTTGTGGTTGAAAAAGGTTTGTAATAGTGATTTAATCATTTCTATTTTTCTATGTACGTTGTTGTTATTGGTGTTCTCTGGATAGATTGTGAACAGTACATTCACTCTATTTCTAATGTCACGTTTCAAGTAAAAACCCATAGTTTATTCCTACAGTAGGTCATTCCGCTGCCCGAATAGCTCAGTAGTAACGCCTCAAACTGTAAAACTGGATAACACAAGTCCTTATTTCAAAAAGAGGATCAGTCCCTTCAGGATTCTAGGTGTACATTGTTAACGAGCACCAAATTGCTGGAATCTTATATCCAAGGTTTCCTGTTGACCACTTCTAACTACATAACGAACACAATTATATTGAAATATTGGGAATTTTGAAATGATCAACCAAAATCCCTACACTTTTAAATTATACATTGAAAGATGGTCGCGCGAGTTCGTGGATTGATTGAAGTTAGACATTAACACCGTCGGACGCCGGATCAGTGGTCTAGAGGTTAAGGGTTTGCGCACGAAACCAAAAGTCCTGAGTTCGAATCCCGCATGTGGGATCGTGGATGCGCACTGCTGAGTCATCCTATAGTAGGATGAAACAACCATTTAGTGCTTTCGAGTTTTCAATCGGTTCATGATCTCATCAAAAAGCTTAACAACCTCATACTGATAAATATATAATTGAACAATAAATGTAAATGCTCATGAAAATTAACAAATGTCAATTAAATGAAGATTCAAGTAAATCAAGTAATAAAGGAGCCAGAAAATTAACATCGTATAGAAACAATAAGAAATTGTCTCATTATCACAGGCCATATGGATTTATTTGTGCTATATACTCATAGAAATTGGGAACTGTTGTTTTACCATAGAAAAGAAAATATTTCATATATTATGTGTGTATTAGAAGGATTTATTTAACTACTTATTGCCTATGATCAATCTATACATTTGTTAATCACATAGGGCTTGTGATTATCTTAACCCTAGTTACACTTGTATATTGTGGTTTTTGTCATATGGTACAAATATGACCTTAAAAAAATTAGAGTAATCACTGATTCAACTGTTTGATTCATGTGATTGACTTATTTAACAATCCTAAAATTGAGTTATTTGTATGTTGTTTATCTGTTTATATAAATAGGACACACTCTAAATGAAAGGGGATAAATAAACAGAGATACATACTATATAAATATGATATTCCTGAATTCACTGAAATTGTGATCACATTCTTTATTTATCCTATACAACATCTTTACCTTTTAATTCCCAATATCTAGATGACTCGTAATAAGTAGCTTGTATTTCTTTATACAATCCAATCAATGAATTATTGATTTTTTGGTTAAACACAATATAATGGTTTGGCCATATAGCAATACTACTATATCGAGAATTTAATATGTTTAAATAGACTACAATCTAGCATATTCTATACACTTTCCTATCAATTGATTCGGGGTGGATAGGTTTACAGTTTAGCTCAGGAATTTCAATACATACCGTTATGAAGTAGGACAACTGTTTTGTTTTCATGAACTAAATAACCTTCGGAAATGTTAATCATGAAATATCTGTTTGATTATTGGTGAATAATAATTATCTCCATGTGAACGTGTATACTACATGTTCAACTCTATCATAAATCAGGCTTACAACAATGTTTTTTTACATTATATGTTTCTGTAAAATAATTATCATTTGATCTATACAAAGTATATAGTATACGTTTACTTCGTTTTCTCTTTTATTATAACAAGGTGGTAAAGTTCTCTATCATTTTGAACAGAAAGAAGTTGTAAATCATCCTGATTATAAGCAAATTATTGATGTTTTGAAAATTAATCCTAAAGATGTACCAGAATTTGCTACTGTTTTATCACAAGAATGTGATGATGCTTGTAAAATGTGAATGTAGTCTGATATTTGAAACTATTCAGTGAAGAAGTAATGCTCATTATGTGAAGTTCAACTTCCTAATCTTAAAAAATTTTTTTGGACTATAGTACTTTCTTTGTATGTCATAGTGATTTTATTCCATCCTATTGAACTTTTATGGATGTAATAGTTATATTGAAAATTGTATTAAATTGTATGTTTTAATTAGACTCTATGTTATACAATGGGTTTTTCATTATTTCAAATTTGTTATTCACTATTAACTGATGAGATAATGAAGAATACAATGTTTCAACGAGTCAACTTGTGATTTGATGTGAAGGTGAAGTTAGAATAAGATATTGTATTAAATGCTTTTACTAAATAATAATGATAATAACAAAGTTGAACGAAAACTATGTTCAAATGTGAGACATCTTCAAAGTAGTTTATACAATGCTCCACTAGTTAAACGAAAATATTATTAGGATTACGAATCAACTTAAGTTAGGCAACCATTGATAAGCTGAAAACAGTAGACGGACGTTTCATCCTATTGTGGGACTTTTCAGCAGTGCTCACCCATAACCTCGCGACGAGGTATCGAACCCAGGACATTCAGTCTTGCACGCTATACCTTAACCTCCAGACCACTGAACTGGACTTCAATAAAAATGTTCATTTTTGATTCTACTCTAAACTAACTCCCTAACCAAGTATAGATTTATTTACATCCAGTTTTACTCTACAGGTTTTATGTGTGTCAGCTAGTGATACTAACTGACTAGTGGAATTCAAGTAGTCGGAGTTGGGTTCGAATCTGCAGTTTAGTGATGAGATCAATAATTTACAGAACAAATAATAATTGAACTTTTGTTTAACTTCGGCCTTCACTTTTGTGTCTATAAATCAGTCTGGCAGCCTAGAGTATTTCAGACAGCATAATTAACAATCATTGTATACATTTCATTAATGAATATAATTGTTCATTAAGTATTTTGTGCAATAAGTATTTTGTTATATCCGGTGAAGATTAAATTACAGGTAACTCCCGAGGACTATTCATGGACTAATATTCTATAAATATTCTTATTGTATAACTACTCAACAATTACACTATGTATATTTATATTCCTTTTGTGATAAGCTTTATTTTGACCTATAATTTATTATTGTACGATTTACGGTTCTTAAGTTATGTTCAGTTTATTAACTACTGCCTCCCACATTCACAGCCACTTTTTGGGCTTATTTGTGTACAAATATTATTTCCTATTTTATGGTACGTTGCGGTCTGTGTGATTGATATATAAACCAAGTATGCCTGAAATAAACGATCTGCTCTGATTCGGAAGCTGGTATTGTGTTCTGGACTCAAGTGGAAGGGCTCGTAGGACATAGGACCAATAAGGACGCTAAACTGCCCACACCGGTTGAACGTCATTGGTTGGCCTAGTGTGAAGATTCGTATAAGTCGTATTCGGATTGGTAGATAAGTCGTGTGATCTAAAAGTCAGACATCCAAGATCATAACATATTTATCAAAATTAGCTGATGAAATAGAAAATGTCATTTCTGTTAGCTTACTTAAAACACTTTTTACCCATCGTGAAACAGGTCGACAGCTAAGATTCTCCAATCAACTTTGTCCTGGGCTTTTCTTTCCAGTTGTTCCCAAGTGCTATTCTTTCTTTTTCTGTCTGCCTTCAATTCCCAGTGAAATGTGTTCTTGTGTCTTCCTCTTTTCCGTTTTCCCTCAGGATTCCATGTTTTGTCACGTAGTTTGATTATTTCTCCAATTTATGCCCTATCACTCCTAACGTCTTTTCCCAATTTCCTCTTCAGATGGTAGCTGGTTTGTTCTCTACTACAGCGAGTTATTTCTGATAGTTATCTATTTAACTGAAAGGTCATTAAAGTGACAACTAATATGGCTTGTTAAGTAGCTTATCATCATGTTTGCACTACTTTTTGCTTCAAAAAAAGCGAAAGAAAATAGAATAATATCTCTATTAGTTCAAAATCTATCTTTTAACGTAGTTCGCTCGATAGAACATTTGATTACCATAGTTTTATTCTTAACAGTATCAGGTTAGCATAGTTCAAATCACTTAGTCATTAATATCATATAACTTAAACATATCCACCATTTAAGTAATTACATGAGCAGAACACAGAGAACAGCAAAGGAATTGGAAAGAAAATTATGCTGAAAAGGAATGCATCTCAAAAAGGATAGCTAAATTCACGGAGTAAAACATGGTATATTATTGAATTTCGAAGTCAAGAGAGCTTTAATGATTGATCTCACTTTTGACTAACATTAGCTAAGTAGATAGATATATTATTTATGGAATTTTTTGTAAATTTCATAAAATCACTTAGACAATCTAAAACGCTGTTATTAAGAGTTTGTATTCTGAACTGCTACATGTGCATCCTGAATGGATTGCCTCAATAAAGTGTTATGTTACAAGTTTATGTATTACATTAGCGGTATGTTTGTGTATCAGCATAAACATCAACATTAGGCTGCACGTATAATTCAGCTGACTTGTTCTAATTAAGATGTAATCCGCGTCCTAGATTCTACTGCTAACCACATGCCAAATATAACCGAAATAAAGCATTATTTTAGCTTGTTCTGAAATAGTTATTACAGGCTTAGGAAATATGTTTATATATTATGTGAATTCCGCCTTATTATTAATTACTATGCATGACTAGTGTTCTATAAAATAAGTAAAATTTTAACTCAATAACACTGTTGCTCAATGATCTCAATGTGCTCAACTGTTTTTTCTCTGAAGTTTATCACTTTCAATTAGGGAAAATTGTAAACCAAGGTTATAAATAGTTGTGATTTACAAATAATACTAAACATTCTATTCTTAAAATGATAACAATATTGATGATTTACAACCTACAATGATAATGTTGATGACTATGAAAAGAAATCTTGATACATTACTGATGATATGATCTTCATTATCAAAATTTAGCGAACATTGAATAGTTGTTATTCATAGATATTTTCCTAAATTGTCAGAGTATGACTGAATAGTACCATTTTGTTTCTTGATGTACATGACTAAATGAGTCTATAAGCCGATAACGTTCAACATTAAATTAAATGATACTGGAAAGAATATAGTGGAGAAGATTTGTAGCTCAGGTAGATGATTTTGATGAGCATCGAGGTCTACAGGACAAGCTGTGAACCACATGTGGAGAAATTCGAAAACTTCACTTCTATCTGCAGTTTGTGCTGATGATGTTATTCAGAAGAACGATAAAAGTTCCACGACCAAACTATCCAACTCAGAGAACAAAACTCCATCAAAATGGAAAGAATATTTAATGTTAAATACGCTTATTGTTTCTAATTAACTACTCACCTATGACATTATGGTAAATATGAAAATTATGACAAAGTCTAGAGAGTAACCAAGGTAACTAGTTCAAATGGGAGTCGATTTTTAGCAAAACATGTAACTAAGGTCATCATCATTAGTTATAAAATTAATTAAAACATGTTTAAAAAAACAAGTATGGTCAATTCATTATAATTGAATCCTGTTGAATTGTATGCTATTTCATTGTTCTAATCTTAATTCAATGAAGCCTCTTTATATTTATAATCTTATTACACCCCAAAAGCAGCTTGGTATTCATTTCATAAGATCATTGTTTGACTTCATATTGAATGTCAGTGGTGATCAGAAGTAACTTAAACATGTTAAAGTGTTCAATGTTGTAATGAATCCTCGTTTGACATGTATCTCTTGCTTACTGATATTCTTAATCGACGTATATATGTATATATAATTACAATGAAACTCATTCTCTTGCATTAACCAACCTCAAAGAAGATAGGTTAATGAGATCGATTGAATTCGATAAGAATCGATTGGTGAACAACATAACTAAGGGTTTTACCTTTACACCATTGTACAATAGAACGATACTTCTTTTTAAGCCATTTTTGGTGCTTAATGTGACAATGAAATTAAATAATCTCTTTAAATGCTTCATTGTATTTGTTTCTCGTAATACAACAATAATTGTCTGCGTTGTTTTTTAATCCCACATAAATTATGTGCTAGATATTCTGGTCCTTGAGGCAAGAACAATATTTTATGACTTGGAAATGTAGCTACATTTTTCCAATCAACAAAATATGACATGATATCTTAGAAATAATAAATGCCTTACTATGTACCTTCGAAGGATGGAATCAGTTATTAACAAATCAATTAGTGAATTTTTTTAGCCATTTGTGTAGATTAAACTTTAGCAAACAAGTATATTAGTTTTCTCCAAAACGGCTTTCAAAATAATTTTTCAACATTCTTAGGTTTTCAGCAAAATAGGAGAAAATATAATTGCTATCCATAATTGAATTTGTTACAGCGCGTATGTTGAAGGCTGGATTTTTGTTTGCATAGTGATATCAAGAGACGATGTCACAAGCTAGTAAAAATAGATTGGATTTGACACTCTAAAAATAGTCGAGATTCTCAGTAGACAAAGTTCTGAAAAGTAGAACATAGGGAATATAAGTGAAGAGAAATGAACGGTGTAATAGGGGTATATCCGAATTAGGTAAGCGACTCGTTAAAACTAAGTATCGCTCTGCAACGTTTACTGTCTGAAGAAATAATTCGCGATGATTGAAACTACTTATCGTTTGTAAGTAGTATACTATTAAACAATAAAAGGTTAGCACTGTCTTCTCCCACTCTAACTGCTGTACCGACTATTGGCTCACGAAGTCCTGGCATTCAGACTACTTAGTTAGTACTCAGGTCGAAAATTCTGCATATGGCTCTTCCTAAATCACTTCATTTTTGGTTTCCTACTATCTTCATTGCCCACGATGAGCATAACCATTCTGACTGTTTATTACATGGGTATGATGTTCCAACGACTATAACTTAATCTCAGGCCTACAAGTTTCTTCTTTCCTCGACCTATACCAAACCTCAGTTTTTCGGTAATAAGTATTGTAATCTGAAACCTGTCTTTGTCACC